TGTTTTTATGTGAAGCCTCGAGGCCACAACCTGAATGTTTCTGTCGATCAGCTGGTTGGTTTCAAAGTCATCGTCGTCCTCGCCAAATGGATTGATGATCAGCTCCCCCACCTACAAACAGAAAAATTAACATTATTCCTTACTGAAAAATGTAAAACAGTTTTTTTTCTTCTATGAGAGATAAAAGAATATGTCCGCTTACTTTGAGCCAGCCAGTGTAGAAGAAGAACTGCAGCAGGGTGAAAACTGGTACATACAGGTCCAGCTTGTGATCCTTGTATCCCTTCTCAGGGTTCAGAAATTGGCGACCAATCACACAGAAGGCAAAAAAAGAGTAAACTGCTAACGTAACTACCTGCACAGACAGAAAAAACAAGGATGTGATCAAATTATATTTGTATTGAAATAGCCTTTACATTTTATTGATGATAGTTTGTCTTGTTTTAATTGTACCTGAGTGTAGACCAGAGGGATGCTTATCCAGTCATAGTGGAACAAGAGGCTGCACTTGGCTCTGTATTTGTTCAGCTCCTATATAATATACATGTATGAATATACCAGTTCTACAATATCTGCAAACACAGCACTTAACTGAACTTTCACATTTCTTATCTCAACATGATGTATGAAGTAATTGTAAAGTTGTTCTGTTTTAGCAAATGTTGGGGGGAAAGGACCCACTCACATCCATTAGCAGTCTCAGAGCGATGTCGTCCCTTACTCGACCCTCCTCTCTCGCTTTGGCTGCCAGGTTGGAGAACCAGGTCAGCGGAATCCAGTACTTGTTGAAATCCGAGTGAAGAGACTCGTACTTTTTCAGCTCGTGTGTCGTAATAAAGCCTGCACAGAAATGAGAGAGTCTGGTTTCACATTGATCTGAGAAGTTTTATTGTAAATTTATAGATAATAAAAAAAGGTAGACTATCTTTTAAAAGGCTCTTTATTAATGACAGCAAACCATTTTGTTAATAGCATTATTTTTTTTCTCTTGTTACTTTAAGTTTGATCATAAATTACAGTTTGTTCCAGCTTACGTTTGTGTCATTCAACCAAAAGATGTAAATCACTTATTATTATATTACATCCAAGCACCAGTAAAGCAGGTTATAAATAAACTCCTCTAACATCACTTAACTCAGTGTGTTACCAGTAGAGGAAGAAAAATTAAAATATTTTACAAATAAAAAAAGTAACAGCTTAATATAGTGATAAATACTCAATAAATACTTCTGTTTTTCTCCTCTATTTATGTCTGGAAACTAAATATCAACAGGTGATCTAACTGAGTCTAATAACAACATTTAAAACTGTCTCTGATTTAAAAAGCATGTGGTAACTGTTTCATCTTTTTGCTTGATAACTCAAATTTCTACAATATTCCCTTCAATAGCTTTTCATATGATAACTTATTTCTAAAACACATCCAGAGACAATGCAATTAAAAGAGCCTTATTTAAGTTTAAATTGTGTGAAGTAAAATACAAATCCTCAAGTTCATATTATCAAGTAAAGTGTGTTTTTAGTATAATTCATTGAAAAATGTGTTTTAGTCTCTTCCCTGATGTTCTTACCAGCCTCCACTAAGTGCTCCAAAGTTGGGAAACGCTTGTGAACTCTTGTGCTGATGGAGCGCAGAATAAGAACTGAGGATAAGTTAGCATATCTCATGAGAGTTCTTCTCAGCAGACGGCCATTCTCGTCTGCCCCGTGGACGTTTCCCGACACCACCATCATCAGGTTATCAGGCAGCGGGAAGCTGGTGTACTGACCCCACCAGCGGTTAAAGGCCAGGGTCACATAGAAACCTGGGGCAAAAAAAATGAATGATATAACTTCAGATTTGATGTGTGTACAACATAAACCAGTTCAATCTGACTTACCCAGTACAAATAGAACTGGGATGAAGTTGGTGTTGGTGAATTGATCACAGTAAAGGACAACACGCTCAAACAGGTCCTGCTGCCTCGCTGTAAGGAAGAACCTGTGAGGGAAATCAAACTTGTGACCTTTCATTGTCCAGCAACCAGCAGAATCAAAAGTTACAATAAATGGATGTACCTGTATAACATGCTGAAAAACAGATACACTCCACAGAACACCAGCAGCTCTTTGTACAGCAGCTTGTAGATACTTCCCTTCCACCTGAACAGAAGCTTAGAGAAGCCTCCAAATTTGGCATCAGCCACTTCAAAACTGTAAGAAACTGTCATCTCTTGGTCTGTTCTGATCCGAGACAAATCCTGTAAATGAAAAAAAATAAATGTTGTAATCTGAAGAAACTTCTCAATCATTGTATATACATTTAAATATCACCATTCCTTATCTAAAGATGAGTCTTACCTGTGAACGCAGGTGTATCACCTAATCCTCTCTGCTGTCCTGAGAAAGAAACGCTCTTCCTCTGGTCCTGAATTTAAACCTCTCGGTTGTGCTGTCATAAATTAACACTTTGAATTTATAACCTGGGAACTTGGAGTCCATGAGACGTATACACCAAAAGTGATGCAGTGACAGAAACTGTCAATAAAGTGAGCAGTAATTTTTCCGGAAATGACAACAGTTATAAACTTCAGTTGTCTTTTTATTCAACATTGCTTGTAATATTTAACACTCACGCTAATAATATATTGTTGTTGATTACTGAAAATACTTCAACTCTTAAGTAACTCTAGTGTTGACAAAAAGTAGATTACGTAGTAGACCTGGTTAGATAAAGTTTAAATAGTAATAATTTCAAAAACAGTTACTTGATTTGTATCTGTTCATAGATCTTACGTGCTCTGTGAATAACTAAGTTAACCCTGCTGCGTGTCGACATGTTGGAATGTTTATTCTTCTTCTTATGAATTTCTGCAGATTTATAATTTGATCAGAAAATGTGTTTAAATATCGGAAAATGCTAAAATTGCTAAAATATAATGATAAGTCTGACCTAAGTATCAGATAATATAAGCTAATAGTAATTAAACTAAAGAAAATAAGTAATTACATTACATTACATTTATCTATCATAAACAAACCAACCTTTACATACAGCTAGATACACATAAAGGCAAATTAAAAGGTTTGTAAGTTTAGGCATTTTGTTAAGTTTTTAAGTTTTTAACATAAGTTTTTGATTAAAATATAATCAACCAATCTTTATTTGTGTCGTGTCAATTACAAAAAGTTTCTCAAAAGACATAACAAAAGGAGCAGGTCTAGATGGTAGTCTTTGTCATAAAGTGAACTACATTTCTGTTGATTAAATAATTGATTATTAACTTCATTATTATTACATACATGTCCAAGTTAACGTCATTAAGCAGAAAATCACAAGATGCCTTCTATGTATCCTGAAATGCAATTTCTACAAATAGAATGAATGCAACCCATAAATATGAAAAATAAATACACTGTCTTCAGAGGCCATAATAAAACATTTACTGGTTTTTAGACAGGCGTAAAGTCTAAGAACCACATTGAACTTAATATATTTATATACCGATCCAGCAGCTATTATCTTTGGAGAAAAGTCAATCTAGCTGACAGTGTTTCAAATCATTTATTTGAAGTTATTGTGATTTATTCCTGATACTTAATCTTATGACACCCTTTGGAGCTTTTATAAATCTATATATTTATCTAATTTGTTCTAAGCTTGTTTTGAAATGTCTACAAAGAAATGAACACCTTCATATTAAAGGTTTCTAAAAATCCACATGATTTCTATTAACATGACTCTGTGAGATGCAAAATAAATCAAAGAACTTTGGACCTGTTATCAGAATGAAACTAATGCTAACTTTAAGTTACATAACACACAAAGATTGATTGCACAGAACAGGCTTTTCTCTGTAATTTACTGCTCTGTCCATCAGCAGCAAACATCTTTACAGTGTGATGCAGACAGCCCATCCGATAGGTCCATCCCTCCTGTCTCTCTGCCCTTTTCATTGGCTGCTGTACTCTCTCTGCTGTTTGCTTTTCACATCGTTACAGCTGCTCATTGTAAATCAGAGTGTCTTGTCCAGCCGTGTTTAATCCTCTGACTGTGTTTGCTCTCCTCTGACCGGATGTTTATGAGGCCATCAATTCTCCATCACAGCCTGGACAAGTGATCAACTTTAACTTCCCTTTTCTTTGTCTGAATTATTACAACTCCCTCAGCTGCAGCCAAAGGATGAGATAGACTTTCTATGTACTTTGGTAGTATTACAAACAAAATTTGCTTTTGGTGTGTACACAGCTTTAGTGTTATAAATTGATAAATTGATTCATCACAATAGTTTTCACAGTGTGTTAGTTTCCATTCCTGTCACTAGGTGGCACTCTTGTAATACATTGGGTCTGCAGCCACAGCCCTGAGGCCTCGCTTTCTGTATTTAGCTCTTGAACTAAGACATCCAAATTATCTTTTATTGACACAAAATAATAAAATAACTTTTGATATATGTAATACCTTGTATAGGTCCATTAGTAATATTTAGAAAGGACAGATGTGTGGTATTGCTGCACACTTAAACTTCTTTTCTGTTGTTTATGCTTGTATTTTTCATTTTATTTCATTTCAGCTCTTTGGTTCAATCATTTGTTTTTAATTTCATAAGAAATTAGTTAAGTTAGTATATCGTCCAATGTAAATCTAGTTAATCTGTGTTTAGATTAGATTAACATCCCAGTCATTTCCTGGCTCCATAGCTACTGGAGCCACTGGTCGGGGCTAAGACCTCTGAGAACAGGACAGAGAGAGCAGGCTCAGAGCTGATCGTTTGAGTAACCCAATGCGGTAATTACAACTTCCCACGGTGAGTGAAATTAGAGCTCAAAAGAAAAGAGGGATTTCAGGTGGCTGAGGCCACACTGGGTCATTGTCGGGGCAGAAAGAGCTGAAGGGGGCTGCAAAAAAACCTTGAATGAAAAGATCTAGAGCAAGTTGTCCAAAAATACAGAGAGCTAATGACATAGTTTAAGTTTTGTTTGTCATCAAATCATCATTGAACACAATCTTGAGGCAGACATATCAATCAAACGCATTTATTGTTGTTCAACAATTATCATATTTTTGTATAAAAAACAATTGAATAGTGCACCTGTCTGTATAAACATGTTGAAATCAGTGCTTTGAGAGGTACAACACTTTATACCCATTTTGTTTCACAAAGAAGTAATATTTATGCTAATACCTAGGGTGAATTCGCCTAATGTTGGACAATTTTTGCATTTAAGACTTCTAGGATGTATTGCAACATGAAGCTATACATTAAATCCACACCCAGTACCACTCTGAAATCCCCTGGATGTCCCCTAATCAAACCCAAAGAGAAAATCCAGTTAGCACACTCATTAAAGAAATAGTATACACATCAGTAGTCTTTGTGTGTCGTGCCAAATTGTCTCGGACAATCTGCATTTCCTAATGTGGGACAGTGCTGTTCTAAATGTGGGACACTGAAAAGTCTATGTTAAAAGGCCTAAATCACCTTATTTCAAGTATGAAAACCTCTCAAGTCTGTCACACTCAAGTCTAAAATGTGCAATCCAGTGTTCTGTAATTTTACCACTTACAATGATATTGGTGTTACAAAACACTAAAAAAGGACAATAATAGTTTTGATGCATTTAGTAGAAAGACAATAGGCTATTATATCACCATATCTGACATACAGAGAAAGCAGAATGTAATGAACATTTTATGCATTAATTTATTTAAAGAATTGCAATGTTACTATGTTAAAATGTTAAAATATTTTCTATTCCATACGTTTGTCCTGAATAAAATAAATTCTTAGCCAACTAACACCAATACTATTTTGTTGACTAGTTGATTAATTGATCGACAAGTCTTCAAAACTGGGTTTTTCCACATAGAAATATGCAACATAACCAATTTAATCATATCTTCACCAGAGATGTACTAAGGTTTCTTAAAAATATGTCATTCAGCAGGGAAAAACGACCAATAAGTCAACAAATAGCTCCACTAAACAGGAAACGCATACAATCATAATAAGCATATTTGAATGCAAAAAACTGTCCCACATTAGGCAAGTCATACTGTCCCACTTTAGGAAACATGTTTCCTAAAGTGGGACAAAGGGAATTTTAATTGAAAATAACAATTATAGAATTTATTTAAAACAAAATATAATATTTTTTGATGAACAAGCATATCATAAAAACATCCAGATAATAAAAAGTAGGATTGTTTTATTTATAAGAAATGTATATCCTTAACATTAAGTTTGTCTAAACAGTATGTCCCTGACCTTTGGGTGGTCTTTATGCTGTGTACTTCATATTTGAAGCTTGTATCATTCTAATCTCTGATTGGACATTTGAGAAGTCATGTTATTTTGATCACATGATATCACAACTTGTGTTAACCCTTAGTTTTATTGACTTTCATTTGTTGTAGGAAGACCTACACCCACCTGAGCTTAGGTGTCCCACATTAGGCAGTGTCCCACATTTGGCTAATTCACCCTACTATGTTACAGCAGTAGTCTGAACTTTTGGTCTGAAATGTATAAAACTCATTGGATGATTATTCTATTTTTAACCATTGACACAACCAGTTACAACTTTTTAAATTTGAATAGTTCCTAATTTCTAAAATTTGTTTCACAGCCGTTTTCATACTATATATCAACTTTTAATCAATGTAAAATTAATGTTGAAGTAAAGAGGAAGAATGTATTATGCCCGCTTAAAAAGCCTTAGCTCAACCCATTTTGGAGTCAAGTATTTTTTTTCCAAATGTATTTGATGCTAAAGAAGGAGAAATATTTTGTATCTAAAGATTTTGTAGGATGGTTTCTTTTTTCTTTGGCCTTTTTTAAACCAAAAACACAAACAAAAGTAAAACTGCTTTAAAGGCGTTCTTCTGGCATTAGCATTTTCTGCTAACTAGCTTAAACAGCTAGAGTAGAATTTCTCCCTCAAAAGTGTATCGACAACTTCATACATTAGTGTGTGGGGTTACAGCTAAGCTTGTTAGCAGTTCTTATGGCTTATGTTTCTGGAAAACATTAGGCTACTAATAAAAGCCTCTGTATTGGTTTAAGTAAAATATAGGCTACACTATAGATATCAACATGTAGGCCTAATGTACGTATAAGCTAACATAACATAGCATACTTTTTTAGCTGTATGTTATAGCTAGCTAACAATTCATCTTAATTAAAAAATATATTTTTCAATGTTGAAAAGCCAGCCTGAGAAAGTGTTTTCAGCTAACTTAGCCTGCACAGCTCATGAAATCTGCCAGTAATTTAAGCATATGTGACTGAGTAGAAACAAGAAGCTTGCTTTAGTTGCCTCTTCTTTGCCATATAAAAAATATAAATGTTACTGTTTTCATTGTAAACTGCTCATGTGGTGAGCAAAACAGGGAATCTCAGTTGTAACAACAACAATTAAACATCAGAGCCTATATAATGTAGCTAGAGATACACAAATGAAGCAAACATGCTTTTAATAATACAATGTGAGTGCAGGAGTTGTACAAAATACAACTTGTTGTATTTGTTTGTGGCCTCAGGGTTTTTTTTGTTTGTATTGTGGCCTCAGGGTTTTTTTTTTTGCATTTGGAAAGTAGTGAACTTTACAAGATAAATGAATAAAGCTTTGATGGAAAGTATGTGAAACTCTTGTCTGGAAACAACACCTCAGTTATTTAAACTCACAGGAAGGTCCCCACCCTCAAAGCTGCACCCTCTCTCACTGAACACAAACAACTTAACATTCAGAGCCAGCAAGAGGGAGATGTTAAGTCTCTTTTCATTGTCTTAGATAATGATCAAGTGTCTACAACTTGCATCTCCTCTATGGCCTTTAGTGCATTGTCCTTTCTGTCTGCTGAACAAGCAGAGATTTTCTTTATCTGACATCTGCATTCACCAGCATTAGTCTGACCACGCTGGTATTTTCAAACCTATGCACAATTAAGCATGTGATGTAGTGCACTAACAAGCATATGTCCTTAACCCTTGTTTAACAATGACATCATTTGATACTTCTCATCTTGGTTTTACTATCCACATTTCATGTTGAATTAACAACAAGCATGGCAATGGGATTAGTCATTGTTTCAGCACTTACATTTCTGGATGTGCAGCATAAGGTGAGTTTGATCCAGAGCATCCTGTTTTTAGCATAATAAGTAACACGTCAAACTGGAATGCATTTAACAATTGCACTTGGGTGAGGTAAACGAGCAGATACAAAAGCTTGCTTGACCTAAAACAGGTAGTCATTAAAATGTGTGGTTCATGGTTATGGACGTGAAAACATTGTTGAGAGTACATTTGCACTGAGTGCAGCATAAATAGAAAAAAATGCCCTTTTTGCATTTGTCTTTAAAATAGCTTTTCCAGAGAGAGAAAAAGAAGTGCCTCCCTTTCAAGCCGTCACTGCGTTCCTCAGGTCCCACAGGAAAAGCTCCGTATTAAATCACTTCCTCTTACATTGTGATACTACAGTGGTTGGACCATGCTATCCTTGTATCAGTAGATAACACATACACACAAACACACCACTAACACACACACTTAAACACACAGTGTCTCCCTTTGGTCCATTTAAGGGAATCATTTGATATTTGGGGAAACATGCTTTTAAGGTTCTTACTGAGAATAAGATAACAAGATAAGTACACCGCTTTTGTGAGTTAAGGATAAAGTTGGAGCCAAGAGATAGTAAACTTATCCTAGCATAAGGGTTAGTGCAGGGATAATGTGCAAGTCTGGTCATATTCAAAGTTGAATACCTGCCTTATACAGTAAAAGGCCAATGTGATTTAGCTAGCTGCTGCTGCGGTGCTAACCTATAAGGAAAAGGGAGTTCAATAGAGGACAACATCCTAGCTAATTAGCTTGTTCAACTTCTTTATCTCTACTGTCAGAATAGGCTCCAAGAGATGGTTTACAGGCAGTTTATGAGACAAGACTTGATTTTACAAATTCATTTCAAACACATGATGTCCCACCTGCTGAGTTAGCCTGATGCTACCTTAGGAGTAAGCTATGTAGCTCAGCTGAATGCCCCCCCTTTTTGATGAGTGAAATGAATCGACAGATGGTGAATGACTCAAAATGTCAGGCGGAAGTAAACAAGACATTTAAAAAAAGGTTAGACAACTGTTGTCACTGACAAGTGTTACAGTTAGCAGTTATCTCACAAGCTTTAAATATTCAGGCCTCGCTCAGGCCAGTGAGAAATGCATGGATGAAAATACAAAGTCTTTTACTACTTATTAACAAATAACAACTGACTCCGTCAGAAAAATGGTTGTGTTCATGTAAAACCTGTTCATCCCCTTGTGGTGGATTCAAACGAACAAAATTGGTCCATATGTTCTTATCTAATTCTCATCCAAAAAACAAAACAAAAAAACGAATTCCCTTAAGATGGTGTCATGAGAGACTGACGTTCTCATACTCCCCGTGATCCGAGTCCTCCAGTTCAATGCCCGGCACCAGGCTGTAGTATTCAGTTGACTGAGTCATGTAAGCCTTCTCTCTGTCTGCTGAGTCTTTCATCACCTCCGTCACACTGACTGTGTCCAGCTCTGTCTTACTGACCCCATCAGGCTCCTGTGGACCCTGCTTCCCCTCTGTGGAGGAACAACATGAGCGTTCTTTGTGAAGAGACTCCACTGAGCCTAGTTTAATCACCACCTCTTCGTAAATGTCCCTGGTGCTTCCCAAGAGGGTGGATGCCGGGCGTAGCAGCAGCTGGTTCTTCAGGATCCCCTCATTTCTGCAGAGTCCATCTTTACTCTGCACTGTAACCACAGGTTGTTGCTTTTTGTGATGCTTTTGGCCATTGCTACTTGAACTGGAAGCTCTCTTTTTGGAGTTGCTTATAGGTGTCGCTTTTTTCTTCCTCTTCCTCCCACAGCACCAGCAAAGAATCAGAGCGGAGAGGATGAGAAGAGGGAGCACGATGAAGAGCGCGGTGAGACCAGCTGGCCGGCACACGTCAGCTAGTTTTACAGACAAGACAGTCATGCCAGCAAGATGTCTCGGAGACACGCAGGTCAAGTTCCCCACTAGATCTTCAAACTTAGTGGTCCTGTTAACCTTCCTGCCTTCCTCCAAGCCTTCGAGTAACAGGCAGGAGCAGTCCCAGGGGTTCCCATCCAGAACAAGTGTCTGCAGGCTGGGCTTCTGCAGCATGGAGCCTGGGAGGTGGTGGAGCTGGTTTCCTTGCAGATACAGCTTCTGGAGATTCTCTGAGTTCTGGAGAAAACCTTCAGGAAGCTGCCGAATCAAGTTCCCACTCAGATCCAGCTTCGTCAGGTATGGCTGATTGGCAAGAAACTCCCTTGGTAAGTCTTTTAGTTTATTATGACCTAAGTATACCTTCTGCAAAGATGAGGTATCCCTGCCAGTAGTATTAACAGAACTGATATTACAGGAGGAGAGATCCAGTGTCTGTATGTTTGTATCATTTGTAAACACAGTCCAGTGCACGTGGCTGAAAGTGGAGCCAGAGAAGTTCAAGCAACAGACGTCAGCGGGAACCTCAGAGGGAAACTGGGACAAAATGGTGGCTGCTGGACACACACATCCACCCACAAGTCCCATCCTCAACAGCAACATGGAAATCAGAAGGGGGACCCACTGGCTAACCATCTCTGAAACAGAAAAACACAAATATAAAGCTTCATCATATTACTACAATGGTTTTCTCACTTCTTCCTCAAGAGCCTTACCCACCTGCTAACTGAGCGTATCCCTCACAGATGTTAATGTGCTCGTAAACCTAACAACTTCTCAAAGGACTCAGGTTGCTGTGAGGATTGTGAGAGTTGGCATGGTAACAGGTCAGTAGGGATCAGGAGTTCAGTGTTTGGCTGTTGGAGAGGAAACAGATGCTAGTAAGACTTTCATCTAAAGGCTAACAGACAGATGGGAGGTATAAACAAACACTATTCAAAGATAAAGCTAAGGCCTTTTTCACAAGTCTACATTGTATCCTCCCAATAAATGTGATGTACAGACGTCAATATAATAAAAAACCTGCTAATTGGAAAAAGTCATTGAAAAAAAATTAACATTATGCTAACTGTATTTTGAAAAGGGACTAAAAGATTCAATCATACCCCTGATAATCTCAATAACCTGATTTCAATCTTTCTTTTCTGGTTAAAAAGTAAATAAAATATTTATTTCAGAATTAAAAAGTAGGATGCTTCACTATTATTAATTTATATATATATATATATATATATATATAACAGCTCAGTACACTTTAACAAAGTATTTGCACTGCAGTTCCTATAACACTTATCAAGCCAGTTGTACAAATGTGATAAACAATGCTGTTGTACATTAACAAAACAATCCTGAAGCCCATTCTGTCATATTCATGCCAAAGTGCATTTTATAAGTAGGGGTTCAGAGATTTCTCCAATATTCTTTTAAAAAACCAGTATACAGTATCTCCACTTATGTCGCTTCAAGGGGTTGGGTATAGTTCCTAGTTGGCATAAGAGTGGGCCTGTCTTATCATCATGCTTATTTCTCCAAATATTGCCTTCCAAAATGATTGAATTTTTCCCAACACTCCCAAAGACAATGTATTGGAGCTCCAGTAATTGCATTGCATTTGGGACAAATATATTTTTGCCTCAATGTACATAAACATTGAGGCAAAAATATAGCATTTTATCATATTATAAAGCTAATTTGGCTAAGTCTATTGCACAAATGTCACAACAAGCACAATTTGTCCCTTTCAGTATTTTTATGTTTTTATATGTGGTGCCAGATTTAGCAACCAAGATGCTTTAACATGATACAACACAACAAACAGCAGACAGCATAAACACACAAGTGAATATAGAATAAATGATCCTGACAAGGTTTAACAAGGTCCATAAAAATAATGTGCAGCTATGAAATTTCCCTGTAATTTTTAGTTGTAGAAATTACCCCTCTATGACTAAGTCTAGTTGGGAGTTCGTGACACGACAAAATTTGGAGAATCCTCCTCTTTATGACTTAAAAGAAGTAATTGCTGGTCCATACCTTAAACTCCTGTATACTTTGTGTTGCTGCTCGAAAATCAAAGCATGTGTGGTCGACAAAAACGAGGGATGTGTTTAAACAATAACAAAGTCTGACATGTGAAACAGGCAGGAAGAGACAGGGCAAGAGGGATAGGGAGCGTGTTTGGCTATGAAGTCAGACTTCCTCACCCACCACAATAGAGCTCAAAGCTGCTCTTATAGGAGGGGCAATGTGCTTACTTCCCAACAACCACAGTTCATCACCAGTGGAGGGTTTAAACTGGACCAGTGTTACTAACTGGAGCTCAAATGTTATAATCCAAAAGTCCCAATAAAACAATAAAACCTCCCTTCACCCTCTCATTAAAACAGGGCACTTTCTAACCACAGCTGAAGCAACAGCGTACCGAGTCCAGCAGAGATGGGCAGCAAAATATCATATTCTTGAACAAAGTTTGACAAGACGTCGTCAAAACCAAAGAGCTAAAAAACATTGTTCCTTATTCTAAAAAGTTTTTTTTTTTCATAACCATATGCAAAAACTGGATATCTTTAGTTTTTAGACTTTTGATACAGATGAAATAAAGCAACAAAATAGCTGTATTTGTATCTGGACCTAAAAAAGAATCAATGGAGACATTAAAAATAGAAGAAATCAATATAGGAAAAAAATATTATGTGCAACATAAACAACATAGAAGTACCTGAGTGTGGTTAAGTCGCTGTAGGACATTAAATGGGACTGAAAAAATAGAAAATGTCTAATTGTGTTTCTTCTGCTAAATTTCCATATCGTTCTTTTTTTTTGGTATGAAAAAGTGACTAAACCATATCTTGTTGTTGTAAAATGAACCTGTGTTTAGTTGACAACCTCAACTACAGCCTTCTGTTCTTTAATGTCTTGAGCTTAGCTTTACTTGAAATGTTAAATATGAATCTGCTAACAGCTAGGCTGCACTATTTCTGTACTTTTGGCTACATGCTAACATGAGCATGCTAACGAAACGATGACACTAAGATGCTGTTTTTCTTTTTTTGGTAAGCCTAGTTAATAAAAATCTCAAGTTTTAAGCTTTTTCTTTTAATGTTACATTATAGATTAACCCGCTAGCAGCTCTGTCAGGCTTGCTGATAACATTTGCATGCTAACTAGACAAGTTTTAAAAAAAAAATGTCCATGAGTGAGTTGTAAAGGGTGAAAGTTTGAGGTCTCCACTGAGGGATGAAACAGAGAGTTTCAGCTTTCATGCTAGTAAAAGGTAACCAAGGGTAACTGCTCTTAAACCAGCTATTACTTTTTCTTTTTTTTGCCTAAAGGGGGCAGCAGAGACAAGTTACAAACACAACAATGACATATTGTCAACTTTTCTGTTGATATCACTCATAATAATTCCAACAAGATTAAATGAAGCTCTAGCGTAAGTTCAGTAAGGAAGACTCTATAACTGTCTTTTCTCATTCATCTTTTTTTTATTGCACGCTTACTCTCGTTTCCGCTGTCATTCTTGATCTGTCATCTTCTGGGGGCTGTCATTGGTTAATCAGCTGTCTCGTCAGCGGTACTCATCTAACCAATGGCATGGTGTTCCGCCCTTATTTTCAACCTATCATCGTACTGCTCCCCTTTTAAATATGGTTATTTCTCTCCCTTAGTCCCTTCATGCTGATGTTTCGTGCACCCCTCCACCTCCCCAACACCGCCATCTCGCAGAATCATCATCCATCATTTCTTATCCCATCTGGTCTCATCAAGTCATCAGCTTCACCACCACCAGTGTCTGGACTCCATGGGGGGGATCTATTCTGACGTTGCTAAGAATTGTCATTCTACACATCGCCCACCCCATAGAGTCCAAGCGCCAAAATTATTTCTGTCAAGGAACATTTCTCTCCTGAATGAACTATAATAGGCCAACTCTGCTATTGACTTTATTGTATCTTTATTGCCTCTAACCACTGTCTCAAGGTAGGTGTCAGACAAGATAAAGCATGCTGAAAAAAAGGCATTTTTTACATTTTACACAGGAAATACTCACAATTATTGATATATTTGACCATTAAAAAAGCTGGATAAAATTACTTTTCAGCAAACACTACCCATATGCATGGGAAGGATAGGATCAGCAAAGAAATAAGATGTAACTGCTGATTCTGATTCTGATTCTGATTCTAACGCCTGGCATAAGCCAAAATCGACACAGATGTGAAGTTTCTCAAAGGACCTTTAATTTTAAGAGCTTTTTTTTCAATGTAAAACAGCTTTGACCTGCATGAGATGTAGCTTGCATCATGAATTTGCACGAGGAGTCTCAACAACAGCCACAACATAATGCTTAATTCGACATTATTGACGAATATAACATTAAATATATTTTCCAGATAAGGAGGTGCAGCTAACTTCTGTTAAAGTGGTCTCATATTCTATCACATGAATTAACCCTTTGTAATGCTCTCCGTTTATTTGTAGTACATAGCCCCTTTCCTTTGATTATTTGCATGCTGCAGTAAAAAAGCTTTTGTTCTAACTGATCACTATCAACAGGACATCAATTCAAAGCTCCATCAATCTGAAGAGGAAAAGGGAAATTGCATGGTCGCATGAAGGTTATAATTTGCTTAAATTTGGATGCAGTAGTCCAAATTCTTCACACTGTTGTAGGGGCAAAGTTTGGATGAGGTAAGTCTGCTTATTCCACACAGTCACCAGTTAAGATAAAATGATGCCTGAGAAGGCAAATTCCCATCTCAGTCTGATAAAAGAAGGAGTCTAAAGGTTAGAGAAGACTGATTGTTAGGTTAAAGAACCTCACATCCGGAGGTCTGCACTCTTAATATTGACCCAGAAGTTGATCTTTGGATCTTAAGGTGACACAAAACACAAGAGACACTGGCTGACTTTCACAGGGAATGAAATGTGTGAGTGAAGGCCCTTTAACCAAACAGGAGGATTTTTCCTGGACCCTCTCCTCTCTGGGTGTGAGTGGCCATTGAGAGGAGGGAGGTTTAAATCTGGGGATGGTGGATGATCTCACTCGCTAACAATGTGAGCAGCTACATCCTCTCTGGCAGCGAAGCTTCCTCTGAAATAAGGGTCTCCATTCTCCCTATCATAAAATATTCCTACATTAAACAGAGACTGCAGCTGAAGTTACTCAGAGGGGGAATCTTACAGGGACAAGAATTCAAGGATCTTGATGATTTAAAGGCAGATTCTCTTAATTTTGATAGTTTAAATTTGAAAGAATTTTACTTTGTACTGCATAGTTCAGGTGTGTAGAGGTCTTTTTTTTAAAGAATAGTAAATCATCTTAAAAGAACTTAATCTTACAGTTGACTGATTTTCTGTGAATTTGAGGTTCTAATTGTCATCGAAATGGTCAAAGGCAGATTCATTTTTAAAGTTTTTATCTCTAAAAATTGCTAATTCAAGGTAGAAATAATAAAAAAAAAAACAAGACTCAGTTTGCTATTGTTTTCTGTGTAGAAACATTACTTATTACTACAAATGTATTGTTCATTTATTGATAATTCATTACAAAAAAAAATCCATACATTCCATAACTGTACTTTTGGGGTTCTATGTGGGGTCTTAGGCTCATTACCTTAAGATACAGTGTCTGTCTAATGATGAGCAAAAACACCATAAGAGTATCACTTCAAGTAAAAGCATAACTGCACGACACTATTAAGATAATCAAGACTATTTAAATGTGCCCTAATGACACCTTCTTGTGAGTGAGATGAAGGATACCCAGATGTAAATAATCTGTAAAAATGTGTTTACTTACCTCTGTGTTTCATGTCAGCTACAGCCCTGTGTGTCTACTAGAAAGCTCTTCAGACCTGCTGAGGATCCAAACATCAGCAGCAGCGTCTTTCTCTCCTCTCTGCATCCCATCAAGTGTCCCGCGTGAACACACCTCTCCTCCTCCTCCTCCTCCTCCTCCTCCTGCGGGTCAGAGGGTGTGTCTACCTCCGAGCGGAATGTGGAAAAACTTCCTTCTGCCAGTAAGCGCGTGTGTGTGTGTGTGTGTGTGTGTGTGTGTGTGTGTGTGTGTGTGTGTGTTAATTAAGTTTATCCATACAGATTGTTGAGTTTAAATAGGCTACGTTCACCTGCGACTTCAGGTCACGGATTGACCCTCACTAACTTTAGTGCAATGCCGCAGCGCCCTCTGGTGGCTGATTCATGGACCTGCGTGCTTTTCAATGCACTGTTCTTCAAACAGTGATGTTTTGCTTTGGTATTTCAATGTCATGCTCCTGCTTGGCTTACTTTTTAGTTAAAAAAAACAAGTTATCAAATTCTGATTTTGTTCCAGTTAACTAGAGTTAAATAGAGTGCACTATTATGATTTGAAATTCTGTTGCTTCTTTGGCTTAATGAAAAAAAAACTTGTCAAAGACAGAAATGTATGGAGCCCCTGAAGTCCTAAAAAGTAAAACACAAAATCTTGTGTGCACATGTTAAATATATTAGGTAAAAATAGGCATAATAGTATAATTAGGTATAATATCTTGTTTTTTCCCCTCCTTTTTGGGACTTCAGGGGCTCCGTAGAAATGAGATCTCTTTCTCTAAGCTACTGACAGGAGGCCTTTTCAGAGATATTCAGGCTACATAAATGAAAGTCCATCCCCATTTGAAAAAAAAGAGTGATTCTGCACAAATGTCAAAGCCCCAGTTATTGCGTTTGGTTGGTACTCTATTCTACTCAAGAGGAGAAAAATGCACATGTTGCTTTTTACTGCATAGCAGAACTATGATTATGAAGTTAGGAAGTTGTTGCATTTGAATTTTGACCTTAATCTGATTTGCTCAGTATGGCCCTTATAAGGTAGGTAGCAAAATCATATTAAGATCATAATTCATGTACAACAACTTCCTAACTTCCTTATTAGGAGGATATTAAGGACAATCTCTTAAATTAATGGCCTATTAGCTATAGACTATGGTCACTTAGAATAAGGTACTAATAAGCATTAAATGATGACTAATAGGCAGCCAGAATGCTGCTAATTATCGTGCTAATGAGCAACTAGTTATTGGTGAATATTGTGACCTTAATTTCAAGTGTTACCAAGATTTTATATTTTTTAATGGGATATAAAATATAAAATACAATCTTTAATTAACCGTTCTTAGAGGGTTAAAATATGATCTTTTAACTTTGAAATCAAACGAGAAACAATTTAACATCAGAAGAAGTCAACACTCTGTGCTTTTTCACCCGGATTAATGTACTGCTTTTTCATTTAGGGATACAATGAACAAAAAGGCATCGGTCAATCTATTCCTGCATATTTTAGAATGATTTAGATTTATCCAGGAAGCCGGAGGCCCTGAAAACAAGCAACACAAACATACACAAACAGATTTTTTTATTCAGATATAAAAAAGACAGGTATACTTTCATACAGTCTATATACACTGTTAAAAAAACATTTATAAGAAATCTCTGGATTGCTACAAAAATCAGTGTAAACATTTTCTGGTTGGTCATTTTCTTAAAGTCTCTGTGACGAGACAGAAAAGAGTGCACAGAACGTATTGTAAACAATGCACACCTCCCTCTCACTGAATATAACACTGATAAAAAAACTATACAAAAACACTGATAGACACATATAGAAAAATGTAAAGGCATTGTGATGAAATGACAAAAGACAGTATTAAAAAATGAGATTATGCTACTGTCACTGTTTGATTACACATATTGAAACATATTTGTTGGCAGAAAAGGTACATACTACATGTTTTAGTTCAGTCTTATGTGTCAGTTTGTTTGTCCCAAGAGTATTACAATAGCACACACTGCATACCCAAGTGTACTGTACCGTTCAATACAGTCCTTCAGACACTTGGTGGCAGCACTGCTACAGTTTACTTGACGTTCCACCTTCCTGCAGCTGCACACGACCAAAGGAGTCATGAACAAGCTGTTGGTGATTTTTCAAAGGCACTTTGGTTAGAAGGTCAGTTTCCTGCTGATAAACACACAACTTTGACATAAACCTTTGACAATACAAACTTATTTAAAATTAATACCATGCAGGAGCTGAGTCCAGATGATCCAGACTAAGGCACTCGTCTTAAGTCATCAGGTTTAAGCGTCCTTGCACTGGTTATTCATTTATTTTTTAATTTAAAATGTCCCACTTTTTAACTACAATGCACAAAATCATGAGGCACATCAGTGAAGTCATTTGCTTTTTTTGAAACAACAATGTCTTCCTTGATTACTTGGACTTCTTTATACAATATTCTAACCATAATAACATAATTATTCAGAACGTTTCCCTTTGTAACACCTTAAAATGAAGTTGCTTGCCAAAGAAAATGAAAAAAAAAGTTAGAGACGATTGAAACAAAAATGATCATAATTTCTGTTCACCAAAATATTTCTTCTTTAAAAAAAAAATAAATTACTTGTAGGCCCCCGTAGGGAAATACCACATTTGAGTTTGTCATTCTGACGAATATAGATTTTTAAATCTTAAGGGGACTTGAGGCTTAGAGTTGAGCACACTGGAGCAAGAGAAAAAGCTTCTTGACTTTTCAATAGATCAAACATTGAAAAAAGTTCATCGCTCATTCTATCCAGGTCATAAATGCTGGTCATCTCTGAATAAAATAAATCACTGCTATTAACAATAATACACTGACCAGAAGTCTTCTTTGACCGTCCATGTTCACAGCTAAGCCTTTGGCCAATTTTGCACCTCGTTCTGTAAGGACTCCCTTTTTTTAAGTTTTTTTTAAAAATTCTGACAACTTCAGCCCAGGATAAAAAGTATAGTGTGATAGTCTGCAGCCACAACATACACATGCTGCCTTTTGGTCTTCAGAGTAATTCTAATGCACTTCTTTGGTTTTTCAGGAGTCCAGGTAGATGGAGTAGATCTGGTTGAGGCAGCGGTCGACACCTCCTGTCTGAAAGAGGAAGCTGTCATCTGAGCAGGGAGACATGAAGTAACCGCCCCCGGCCTGGCCCTGCAGGTCCTGCAACAAGTCAAACCCTGAAGACAGGAAACATAGAATTTATATATATATACCTCAGTTAAAGAGCCAAAAGTAATATCCACCTTGTTACATCAAACATTGAACTTTTTTACTGTTCTTTTTTAGCTGTTTTCATTTCCTTGGTTAAGTTTATATCGTAACCTTTGATCTACCAGAAGGGCTTTACATTTTTTCAAAATAAAAGCTGGGTTGAATTCAAACAACACGTAAAGAACCCTCAGCTTAAGACAATACACAAATTCAAAATAAAAGCCCAACTATTTTTATTTTTAATGCAAAATAAAGGAATTTCAAACATGCAGTTAAAAATGTGATTAACTTTTGAAATTTGAGAGTAATCGTGATCAATATTTGAAATCCTTTGACAGCCCTAACGTATATTCGACAGCACTCTTCTTTTCATGCAACACAAAAACAAGTTTCATTCAGAAGACATTTAGCTATTGTTGTAATCATTGTAAATCAGGTTTGTACCATACATGAACACAACAAGCTTCTTTTAATATTTGCTTTGCAGTAGTGGATGGAAAAGCAAATACATTGCAATGATCTCTTACAGATACAGTATGAAGGTCATGTCTTACCTATAGAGTGAGAGGAGGAGTTTGTGAAGTAACTGGTGGGTTCAAAGCCTCCGTCACTGGCTGGTTGAACCACCTTTCCCTCTCCATACACACATCCTTGGAGAACCACAGAGTGAACAATGGATTTCAAGGACAAAACCAAAGTAAGAAGTAAATGCCGTGCTTGTAACAGTAAACTTACTTGTGTTGTCAGAACATTGCTGCTGTGAGAGTACTTGTTGGTGGCTATAGATTTTGTCATAGATTTTGTCGTAGCCCTGCAGCTGGACGTTTGCTTGGTCTGACGTGGAGCTCACCGGGCTGACATCAGACATGAACAACGATGCTGGTCTGTTCCTGTTGACGACATACAGTCAATTATTCAGTACCCCAAAACTGACACTGACACTGAACCCCAAATTGCTCCCACTGCTGCGTGGTGTGTCTAAATACTTGTCTGGAAATTCACATTTTCTATTTTTCGATCATGCTACATACACACGTCAGGAATACACACACAGATGAACAAACAGGATCCTACAGACGAGCATTAACGGATGACAGAGTGAGGGGCTGCACATGAACGATTGCCTGAACAATTAGGGGTTAAGTGCCTTGCTCAAAGGGCATCTCGACTGTGCTCAGGAAGTGAACCGGCACTTTCAAGCTACCAGACAAATCTTTATACTTTGGTCCGTCCTGGGACTTGATCAGGCAACCAATCACTTCCCATCCCCAAAGAATAGGCTACTGCCACCCCCCACATTTACCTTTTACCTTATAGCTTCTAAAGGTGAAACAGACACTAAGATTGAACAAGAGAAGATGTTCTGTTAGCATGCTCGGCTAACTAGCTTAGTAATTACCTTTTCGTGTGTCACTTTTCACACCAGCTCTTCATATTGTGGCTTAACGAGTCACTTTTAAAATGAAGCAGTTCACAATAGCATAGCAACAGCATATTGTTTCCTTGCATTATCAGAGTTGCTGCTCTTTTTTCCGTTATGTATTATTAATCTTTGAAAGATCTTTCTGTTCACCATCTGCTGTTTATCTTTTTTCTTTAACCCCTTAATAACTTCTATCTGAATTAATTTGTTGACCATTTGTTGCATTTTGTTTTTGGATTTGTTGAAATTTTTAGACTACTCGCTGTTTGGCTGAACTATTTTATGTTTATTCTGTTAACCTCCCAAGTTCCTGCCTTTGCTTAGTCTTTCAAATCACCTTTTAAACATCTTTATATAAGTTATTATTATTATTATTTATTTATAAAGGTTGGTGAAAGACAATGAAAGCTCCATGAGGATTCATATGTGACTAGTCGCATTATTATAAAAATACCTGTGTTATTATTACTTGCATTTAATCGTTTAACACTGTTTCCAATCTACTGTAGGTATTTAATCGAGCTGTCACTGAAGTATTTTGCAGTCATTCATGCTGATAACTGTCTGACATTGTTGCAGCAGCTGTGTTATCACACACAAACTACTTAAACCCGTGCACAAACAGAGCAGTTTAAACATGGAAGTGTTTCTGTCTCATGGGGGTAATGTAGGCGGGCTTTATGTGGAGCTGTAACCATCGTTACGCTGAAAGAATGTGCTGACTGTGCAAACAGACTGACTCAATGTGGAAACGAATGAGTCAGTGGAGCCAAGTCGACAAGAAGAAAGAAAGGCAGCTGAATATCTCTCCAAGGATATGCAGCTGAAATCCCCCCAATACAGTATTTAACCCCCCTCGTCCTCCATCAAAGAGCTTGCTCTCAGCATTTCATGCGCCCTGAGAACTCTCCTGGATGATGTACCGGAGAATATTGGTCCCCCGAGAGCCAAATGGCCTTGGTTTCTGCTGGACGGGTTTTACTGGGCTTCATAAACAAGCCAGGCCTTGTCACAGACACTGATGGCTGCCGGCCCGAGCGCCTTCTATATTTGCATCTGACAGCTATAAAAAAAGGAAATGTTTGGAGATTTCTTTACATATCTATCATTTATCATCCCCAGGTCTCTTTATTACCCATTTCCCATGTCAAATGCTATTATATTTAATTTAACAGTCTCTGCTTTCAGAGGAGAAATACAATAAAAGCCAAAATTAATCAAAAGGACTTTTTTGAAACCCAAACTGATATAACTTACAGATGGCTGTGGCTTCCCAAGGTAATAAAATCCAGGCTTTGTATAAGATTATGTAAACATGGTAGGCTTTGATATAGTACGACTGTTGAAATGAATGTGCCGCGATGACTGCGAGCCCCAAGAATTCAGCAGTTCTCTGGATTCCCCCTCATTGGCCCCAGAATCATCAGAGCTGACCTTAACTATAAACAACCGCGTCTGTTCCACGGCTTACATTCTTGCGACAGTGCAACAACATAGCTGAGATGTTTGAGTCGATCTGTCGTTTTGTGGGCCCGGTATGCCCAAAAGTTCCCTGATGCATGAGCTTAACAGAGGGCCCGCGCATGAGGGAGAGGCTGTCAGCACCACCTCAGGAAACTGTTCCTCTGATCATATTTTATCGTCTAAACCCCTCCATCGCTCACTGATTTTTTTCTCGTACTTAATACTAGCTTACCACAGCCAGCTGCCCTTCTCGTATCTGGAATGAAAAGAATCCTGCACGCAGAATATGAGCTCTCTTATTTATATGCATATTATACATCATGGAACCTTGCTTTAAATCCATGGCTGCTTTTTAATAGCAGCAAACTCTGACTGGATCAGAGGAGGGGATGAGTGGGTTTTCCAAAGGTGCCAGCCTGCGCACACTAAACTGATCTGCTTTCAGTTTTGGCAGAGGAAAGACGCCAGAGTACTTCTGTGATAAAGATCACAGGGGATCATGTTAAATGTATGTAACACATATGGAGATTTAATGTGATCTAAGCACTACCAATCAACTACTTAAAGAAACTTAAGTACACTTATTGCATGTTAGGGATACAGTAAAAACAAAAATGTGTGGCCATGCCAAACATTTCAGTTAAACTGGCTCTTTGGATCCGGTGTCACTGGGAGCTTCTGAAAAGTAAACTTCATTTCTTCTCTTTCCTTCAAATTGAATAAAGTGTTTCTGTGTGAGAGTCATCATAGTTTCTGAGAGACAGGCGGCTCCAAAAGCCAATCCATCTTCCCAACACCCCTCTACCGCAAAATACACAAACACTGCACATCACAAATACTCGCTGATGGACATGCCTGAGCGCGGGCCTCTGAATCCCTCAAGTATTAAATAATTAAAAGACGTTGAAATGGCTCGTCTCGGCCAGAGTAAACACCCGCCTGGCTATGAGGTCAGAGCTTGATGCCTGCTCTGCTGTGGAGCAAAGATAATTGACTTTCACGTGTTTAACGTCTCGCTAAGTCGTTTGGGGGAAAAACAAGTGCTCGTCTGGTATTGGCTTTGGCTGGCCGTCTGTACTGCGGGCACCCGTGGGATTCTATGACATCCTCAGTCGCTATAAAGAGACGTCAATGGACGGATTGTGCAGAACTTTATGGAAGCTCAGGCTGAAAACTCGGAGGAGATGGAGGCTTTGAAATGCTGCAAACTGTAAAAGTGACTCATTATTTACCTAAATAAGAACCTTATAATGGTTAGTTTTGCATTGTTATCATCTTTGAAATGTCAAAAAAAGTCCAGATGCATTAGTCCTTGAGATATTTTATTAAATTTATAACACTTTACTAATCCGGGAAATTAAAACTTTTCACTCTGACTTTGTGACACATGCTAAACACACAGGCCGGAAAGTGCAAACATGTTGTTTAGACATGCACTAATGACGAGACGTCAGAGTGAGAGAGAGTGAGAGGAATCAATTATTATTATTTTTTCTTCATGAGCAGTTTACGGCAAAAAACTCATCTCAAACCAAGATATACTACTGACTATCCACCAACTTCCAAAAATGATAAAGGAATGTTTGACAACTTACCCATAAAGTGTTATATTGAATAACAGAATGTACATTTTCAATATAAGGTCACAATGCCACTTATACACCTTAGCAAAAAAAGTCATGAGCACAAAGTTAACTTACTGGAAATGTGTCCACTGCATGAATACCATAGGATGAGGCTTAAAGCTTTAAAAGTCAGGCGATATCTGCTTTTCCAGTCAGTGGACCCTGTGCTGAGAAAAAACCTTCAAACTTAAACCTATAAGTTTGAGGTTGAACCCATCTTAACATCTCTGCCAAAATCCAAAGCCCATTTGAAAATAAATTGTGGAAACGCTGGACAATGTCATGTGAAACTATGTACAGTATACACAATGTGAAGATTCTATATCATGTATTAAACCACAGAAATGTTATGTTGGCCCTTATCAGCTCTCTTTTACTGGACAGACGGCCTTTGTTGTTTCTTTTGTGCCAATAAAATCTGGTTTACGGGCAGTTCTTTAGTGACCAATGATTTGAGGCAATATTATCCAAAGACTGCAGGCCTAGAGGCTGTCAGCTGTATCTTTTTAGTCTCACATCTACTTTTACACTGGGCTAGACAACATTTGTCTCAGTTTACAGAACACTAAGTTCTGTGGCCACCAAGTCCCCAATCACTGCAACCACGAAGCCAAAACTCCATCACTGGTGATAATGTCTCTGGTCCATTCCAGCAAGCATAAGCTGCCAATTCTTATGCGTGTGCTTTCCAGACAAGAGGAGCAACAAAGGTTCTAGCAGTTTAAAAAATACTAATAATACAAAATCCATCAAATGAAGAATGATTTTTGAGTGAATGACCAATAGATCAGTTTTCGCCAAGAGGAGCAGAAATCTGTGGTCAGTTCTTGCTATTTTTATCTTTCGTAGAAAACTTCTCTGGATGAAAACTGCCAAATACAAACAAATTCTCATTCAGGTCCATTGTATTGTGTTGGCAGGAAAAGCCCAAGCAGCAGATAACTCAAAACTCTGCCAAACACACAAGTGGTAAGTGGGAAAATATGTTTTTGTACTGGATGAAATGACCATTTAGGTTTGCCTGTGGGCACATTGTTAAGTAAAATACCCTGACTTCCAAGAAATAAAGGCAAAGCCATTTTTAAATGATTGTTGAACAGCGTTATCCCTTTTTTTTTTATTGTGAACTTACTCCATGAAACAAGAGCAATTCCCTGAAGCAGAGTGAAAAAGGGGAAAAAGCTGTACCAACTGCTGTGTTGCCCATGAACACGGCACTTAACAACTCACAGTCCGTTTTATAAATCTGTTTGAAGGAGTGAACGTGTTCAACTGCAGGATTGCTCAAGAAGCCCATGTGTTTACAGTAATGTTTCCCTGCATGGATAAATAAAAAGCCTAATTGACTTTTTGGATGCAACACGTTTAACTTCATTGATCTGCTTACATTACATCGTACACTCACCCTTCTCTGATGCTCCCCGGGCTTGCAAGTGAAGACATCGGACTGTTGGCGTCAAAGTTTCCCTCTAGGCCTTGATACCTGGAGCAAGTGTCTGCTGATGGAGGAAGAAACTCTGAATTTCCCCTGTTGTGGACGATGCTGCTGTTTGAGTACACACCTGAAAGAGAGACAAAGATTTATGAAAGTTTAACATCATTAAAATAAAATCTTTTGAGTATCCAACATCACATGTCAGTTTGAAAGGTTGCTCCTTAGTGAAGGTTTAACAAGCTTCAGTGACCGAGACAATCTTTTAACAGTGAATCACTTTATCTTTAAGTCAATAAAATATCTTAAGAAAGTACAATTTTAATTTCTCAAACATCCGGTGACATCTTAAAAGTCTAAATAAAATGATAAAACCACACATGATGATTGGCAAAAAACAAAACAAAAAAAGCAAACTTCTTAAAAATAGGGGGTAAATCTGGAGTTTTTAATAAACTTCTAACATGTTATGTGTGAATTATTTGTTGATTCAACTGCTACATTAATAGAGTAATCTTTTCAGCCTTTCAAATTCAAACTTCTATAAAAACATAAGGCAAACACAAAGCTACAGTTTGTGACTACTTGTCTGTCATTTAGCTTAAGTTGTTAGCCACCAATGTTAGCTAGCTAGGGCTTCACCTAACCTACAAACCCTTAAATCTAAAGAGTCACAGCTTGTTTTATAAGAAGAGATTAACTTATACAAATCTCGTGTCATGTACTTCTCCGCTGATCCATCAATAAATTGGGCTAATTATACACATGTTATAGCACAACAGTAAACTAAAGCGTTGCTGATTAATCGTTAGCTATGCAGCGAACTATGCTAGCAGAAGACAGAAGCTATAGCCAGCTATTTAACAATGTCTATAATATTTGGAAATATCAAGTGTTTTAAACATACTAAGCATATACCAGGGCAAAGAACAACTATAAGAGTGGTGGTTTGAAAAATAAAGAAAGGAAAATTGTATCCTATCTTCAAAAAGAAGCTAATGGATGTTGACACCTACAGGAAGTTCAGTGTTTGATAATGACATATTTTTTAGTTTGCGTTAATTTAAAGCAGAAACAAAAATACCTGCTTCAAATCAGCAGGACTTTCAACACATGGCTTTGACTTTAGGTTTCAGGGCAGCTGACGATGATAGCATGTGTCACCATAATGCATCATACATACAGAAATGTACATACACAGGTTTATATACTTAGCAGTCGGAAATTTGTCTTCAGGCTAAAATGTTTGGCCATTTTTTGATAAGGAGAAAGTTCTCTTGGGACATTTTCAAAATGAAACACTGACATACTTGTTTCACCCTGAATAAACATAGTGCAGTGTGCCGTTTGAGGTTTCTCCCTCAAAGTCTTCTGGGTAAAACTGCAAGTAGTCTGAAGTAATAGATGTGGACAGCTCTCCTGGACACTCTCCCCTCTCCTTTGCCAACTGAGCCTCAGTGTACCTGACAGCTTCTTGATCTCAGTTCAGCCATTGAAAGGGAAAGAAAAAGAGTTTGGCTGGAAAACCGGTTTGGAGAAGTTGAAGGACGAGGGGAGAGAGGGCCAACATGCCCGCAGTCAGTGCCCGGTAATTGGACAAGGTAAACACTGGCATGATGAGCTATCATCGAAGGAATGGGAAGGGAGGGAGAGGAAAAGGAGCAAATGAGGCCATGGGTGCAAATGAAAGAGACAGTTTAACAGCCCAGGTGTTTCAGCAATTTTCTTTGTTTTGAGCAACTGACGGCAGGTTTCCTTTGCTTTTGCTACTGTTTCATTGGTGCATACCTGTGAAGTCATCTAGACTGGGTAGTGGTGAGCTGCTTCCTTGGTGAGAAGAGGCGGAGCTGTGGAGATGCTGCCTCGCCAGGCAATCACTCAAAATGTCAGATTCTAGCAATGTGTGCACCTGAACCTGTAAAACACACACATTAAACATGTTCATACAGATGACAACAGCATTTTGTGGTATATTTGGTGTCATGTTTTCATGTTGATGAGCATGAGAAGATGCCTGCCCATGTGTAGGGATGAGAGTGATTATGTTAAATCTTCAGCTTAGTTGTCTAACAATTGGGTTTTTGCTCTTGGGCAATACAACTCCCATGGAGCTAAACACTGAAAGGATTCACTTGTCTTTTGAGGACATACAGTAGATCAATTGAAACCAGTGAGTTTTCTGCGGGCACTTTTCTACTGTTCATTTTTTCAGAGAATTGAAGCTTGAACCAGATGCCTGGTTCTTGTTTCGTGTTGCGATCCAGCTTTTCAAAGTACAAAATCCAGAAATCTTGTTAGGCAATTGTATTCCAAAATGTTCTAACAAAGTTAAGGCAAGACAATTTACTTTATTATCCAGCATTAACAGAGCTTCCCTGAGGACTATCCAAAACAGTTTATGGACATCTCCGGGACCAAGAGGAATCCAGTGAAGGACACCCAGGAACCACAAAAGACGAATGAATAATCAGGGAAAAATGTTTGCCCGAACCAGTGTTTATGAAGATGCAAACTTCAATAGCTGTGACAAATCCGCCTTCAGACATGTATAACCGTGAGGAGTTTATGATGTGCATGTTTAATATTTCAAAGTCCTTCTTAGCCCCACAGGGTTTGCTGCAGCGCAGGGCGTGTTAGCCATGTCACAACTTACAAGCACACGTGGTTCCGTTTAAAGCAAACAAGCCATGGGAATACACACAAAGCCCCGTGTCACTCATGGTCCATAGAAAACAAACAAGGCCCAGATAACAGTGAACAATAGGCTCCCTATTCCGACTTCCAGGGAGTGTGTGTAATACAGTGTTTTGTTGTATTTCATCCTACTGAATCATAAACATGCTCACTCTCTCCTCCTGTGATTATTCATGTCTTTCTCTCGAAAAACAAGCAGAAACAGGGTACTAAAAAACAACCGTAGACCTATCAGAAAACCCTTTTCTTTGGAAAATGCAACAGCTATTCACTTTGTCCTTTTATCTAACAATAGATGAAGAAATCTCTGTTGTTTCTGTTTTGTTTATTAGAGTAGCATTTTTTTTTATAGACAGGACAGTAGATAGAGTAAGAAATCAGGGAGAGAGGGAAACGACACGCGGCAAAGGAGCCACAGCTCAGATTCGAACTCTGGCGGCCTGCTTGAAGGACCACGCCTCCACGCCTCTATGTATGTATGTATGTATGTATGTATGTATGTATGTATGTATGTATGTATGTATGTATATATGTATGTAGGGCAGCTGTCGCTCAGTTGGTAGAGTCGTCGCCTTTCAACCAGTAGGTCGAGGGTTCGATCCCCAGCTGAGCAACACGTCCGATGTGTCCTTGGGCAAGACACTTAACCCTGCATTACTCCCGCTGCTTCGGTGGCGGTGTATGAATGGATTAGTGTTGTACTTACTCTCTGATGTATGTCGCTTTGGATAAAAGTGTCTGCTAAGTGAATTGTAACATTTGTATGTATGAATATGTATGAATGTATGTATGAATATGTAGGCGTATGTATGAACATATGTATGAACATTTGTATGTATGAATGTATGTATGAACATATGTATGTATGAATATATGTATGTATGTATGTATGAATATGTATGTATGTATGTATGTATGAATATATGTATGTATGAACATATGTATGTATGAACATATGTATGTATGAATGTTTGTATGTATGTATGTATGTATGAATATAAATATGTATGTATGAACATATGTATGTATGAATATATGTATGTATGTATGAACATATGTATGTATGTAGGCTCTGTGTTGGGGCTAAATGGCCATATGAATTATTTACAGTTAAAAAATAGAGCCAAACATTAATGAATTTAGAATTATTTGTTTATATTATTTTTTATTCTGGTTTATTTTGGTTTTAGCTTTTGTTAATTGATTTGTGTTAGGGTTATGGTTAGGGTGACTTTCTCCCTCTTTGGGGCAGAGCCGCGGCGTATCAGCAGTGTAATTTAAGTTGATATTAAAGACACTTGGGGTGAGAGTGGGGAAGCGGAACAGTTTTTTGACTGCAAAGGGCCACGTGATATAGCGATCTGATTTGTTTATTTTATTTTGTGGAGTTTAGTTTTTGCTGAAAAGTTTTCTATTAATAGAAATGTAGCTTATAAATTGACTTTGGATCCGCGGCTGCCTTTTGTTTTGATTTGATAGCGTGTTAAACCCGCTCAGCAATGGCTTACCTAATTGATTTTGTTTGAAGCCATCACATTAAGTCAAAAAACTCCGCTACGATCAAAAAAAACACACACTGTGAAGAGGACAAGACGCCGGAGAGGAAACACTGGTCTGGTCGTGAGTAAACAAATAAATGATGAATGGATCGGCGTTCAACGCTTTGTAGGCATGACATATCGGAAATGTTGGATGAGAATTAAAATACAAGAGACGATATGAACAGACTGAAGAAGAGTGCAAATTAACGTGTTTATGGATGTGAGCTGTGTTTAAAGAGTTGACGGACGGCGCTGATCTAAATGCAATGCAATGGCATGCTCCATAAGCAAGGGAGCGTCACGAAATGACGTTCCGCAAAAAATAAATACACAAAACTGTCATAATAATAACGAGTGATAAATAAAATAAAACATGGAAATCCCCAAGACCTGTTAAAAGCTCTCAAAGCATCCCGTAAAGGAAAATAATGAGCGTGCACAAGGATATGGGGCGCCGATTGTAAAGTTGCGCACTACAAATAGCAACAACATTTCTCCACATTTAGCCCTAAAAAAATCACTTTTTATTCACATTTAGAGAAATATTTGTGGACTTTGTCATATTTACTTTTGTGAATAAAAATGTAAGCTAATTTCATTGGCAAATATAAATGTTAAATATTATATCTAAATGTTGAATGTTTTATCTAAATGTTATATATAAATGGTAAAAATACATGTCCTGATTCTAAATATTTAGCTACGTTTCTAAACATTTAGCTTACATTCTAAATATTTAGCTTTGATCCTATATATTTAGCTAAGATTGTAAATATTTATAATCAAAGCTAAATATATAGGCTATAAACTAAATATTTAGCAACAACTCTAAATATTTAGCTAAGACTCTAAATATTTAGCAACGACTTCTAAATATTTAGCTAATATGCAAATTCACTCTACCGCCCACCGGAAGCACCAAAATAAAAGTTCAAGGAAGCAATCCAAGCCATTAGAAAATAAATGTACCAAGTGCTGTGATGGCGCTGTGGAAGATCCTGTGGCTGACACTGAAGAAGTAGTGCTTTGAAAACCCTAAATTGCGGCCAAAACGGCTCTTCCAATATTCTCCGCTAATTCGTTCGACATTTTCAAAATTCTGCCAGTCTCCTGTAGGAAACAATGGTTGGATCGCTTCCTCAAACTTTTATTTTGGTGCTTTCGGTGGGCAGTAGAGTGAATTTGCATATTAGCTAAATATTTTGAAATCAAAGCTAAATATTTAGAAATCGTTGCTAAATATTTAGTGTCTTAGCTAAATATTTAGAAGTCGTTGCTAAATATTTAGAGTCTTAGCTAAATATTTAGAAATCTTAGCTACATTTTTAGAAATCGTTGCTAAATAGTTAGAGTCTTAGCTAAATATTTAGAGTCTTAGCTAAATATTTAGAAATCATAGCTAAATATTTAGATGTCGTTGCTAAATAGTTAGAGTCTTAGCTAAATATTTAGAAATCATAGCTAAATATTTAGAAGTCGTTGCTAAATAGTTAGAGTCTTAGCTAAATATTTAGGGTCTTAGCTAAATATTTAGAAATCATTGCTAAATATTTAGAGTCTTAGCTAAATATTTAGAAATCGTAGCTAAATATTTAGAAATCGTAGCTAAATATTTAGAAATCGTAGCTAAATATTTAGAAATCATAGCTAAATATTTAGAAGTCGTTGCTAAATATTTAGAGTCCTAGCTAAATATTTAGAAGTCTTAGCTAAATATTTAGAGTCTTAGCTAAATATTTAGAAATCGTTGCTAAATATTTAGATTCTTAGCTAAGTATTTAGAAGTCGTTGCTAAATATTTAGAGTCTTAGCTAAATATTTAGAAATCGTTGCTAAATATTTAGAGTCTTAGCTAAATATTTAGAAATCGTAGCTAAATATTTAGAGTCTTAGCTAAATATTTAGAAATCGTTGCTAAATATTTAGAAATCTTAGCTAAATATTTAGAAATCGTAGCTAAATATTTAGAAATCGTAGCTAAATATTTAGAAATCTTAGCTAAATATTTAGAAGTCGTTGCTAAATATTTAGAGTCTTAGCTAAATATTTAGAAGTCTTAGCTAAATAGTTAGAGTCTTAGCTGAATATTTAGAGTCTTAGCTAGATATTTAGAAGTCTTAGCTAAATAGTTAGAGTCTTAGCTAAATATTTAGAAGTCATTGCTAAATATTTAGAGTCTTAGCTAAATATTTAGAAGTCTTAGCTAAATAGTTAGAGTCTTAGCTAAATATTTAGAGTCTTAGCTAGATATTTAGAAGTCTTAGCTAAATAGTTAGAGTCTTAGCTAAATATTTAGAAATCATAGCTAAATATTTAGAAGTCATTGCTAAATTTTTAGAGTCTTAGCTAAATATTTAGAAGTCTTAGCTAAATAGTTAGAGTCTTAGCTAAATATTTAGAGTCTTAGCTAAATATTTAGAAATCGTTGCTAAATATTTAGAGTCTTAGCTAAATATTTAGAAATCGTTGCTAAATATTTAGAGTCTTAGCTAAATATTTAGAAGTCGTTGCTAAATATTTAGTTTGTATTCTATATATTTAGCTTTGATTATAAATATTTACAATCTTAGCTAAATATATAGGATCAAAGCTAAATATTTATAATGTAAACTAAATGTTTAGAAACGTAGCTAAATATTTAGAATAAGGACATGTATCTTTAACATTTACTGTATATATA